ATCTAACAATTGCGAGATCAGAGGCCTGCAACAGGTTCAGTTATACCAGCAAAACTTTTTACGTTCAAAACATCCCATGGCCTATCCGGAACTCGCCCGAGTCCCTCGGGACCTTATCCAAATATCCCAACAAGTCCCATAACATAATACGGACTTACTCGGGGTCTCAAATCACATCAAATAATATCGAAATTGCAATTCACACCTCGATTCGGACTTGAGTTTTAAACTTTTCCATTTGTAAATCTCGTGCCAAAACATATTAAATGAATTCGGAATGACTTCAAATTTGGCACATAAGTCATAAATAAGATAACGGAGCTGTTCAAATTTTCAGAATCGGATTCCGGCTCCGATATCAAAAAGTCAACCCTGTGGACAAACTTGAAAATCTTAGCCTTTAAATTACTAGTTTCCGTTAAATGGTCATAACTTGAGCTAGGGACCTCCAAATTAAATTTTGGGCATACGCCTAAGTCCCAAATCACGATACGGAGCTACCAGAACTGTTAAAACACTGATTCGGGTCTGTTTTCTCAAAATGTTGACCAAAGTCAACTGAGTTGAGTTTTAAGGCTCTATTTCATATTTTAATCCATTTTTCACATGAAAACTTTCCGAAAAAATGTACGGACTGCACATGCAAGTTGAGGAATGATAAATAGTACTTTTTGAGGTCTTAGAACATAGAATTACTTATTAAATTTAAAGATGACATTTTGGGTCATCACAGGGAAGGCGTTTGGACATTTATATACTAATGGGCGAGGGAGTTCCGAGCCGTTTGATCTTGTGGAGATCAATGACTGGGATTAATTGACATCTAAACGACGTCGTTTTGGTTTAGTGATGGGGCGGACCGGTTTGGGGGTATTGGGCTTGGGCGCTTTTGGGTTAATTTTGGGGATTGGGCTGGTTTTAACTGGCCCAGTCCGAATTTAGGCTAACCTATTTTGTTTAATTAACTTTTCATTCTATTTAATTTAAATAAATCCTAAATTACGTGCTAAATTACCTTAATTTATAAAATTAAACCAACTATCTATTTGCATTATTTACAAAATTAGTCAATCTTACATTTAAAAAGGAAAATTGCTAATTTAATAATAAAACTTAAAAATGTCAAAACAAACAATTTGTTTTTTGTGATTTTCTTTTAATGGAGAATTAATTATGTACTTAGACATTGAATTAAATTAAAAACCTAACAATGCAATATGAAGAAGGTTTAAATATGTTTTGTTAGTTTTCATAACTTTAAAAAGAAAAAAAAATGAGACTAAAAATGCAAATAATTCCAAATAAACACCAAAAAATCCTTAAAATTTTTTTTAAAAAAATAGGAGTAATTTATTCATTAATTTTGTAGGAATATTTTGGCAAGGTAAAAATCACATGCTCACAGCTGCCACTCTTTGCTCGGAAACACGAAGAGTTTTCGGGCAAAGACAAAGTGAGCAGTCATGAGCAACTTTTAGCCGTTTGGATACTCCATGGGAAGCACTTTGGAAATGTTTGACCGAACCTTACTTTAAAGGTTGCCTACATATCCCTGGCTATAAAGGAATCAGGTCAGTGTAGTTCTGGAGGTTTTGGTAGCTGGGACTATCGGAAAACTGTGATTTCACTGCTATTGCTGTTGTTACTGTTGTTGAACTCCTTATTACAACAAAGTAAAAAAAATGAAGAAAACTAACTAAGCCTATCAGCTAAGAGTTATAAGATTCTTATGTGTAAATTTTCGAAGCTTGTTCTTGAGTCTTGGCTGGTTCTTTATGCACACTCTGATCTGAATCTCGATACTTGCTAGCTGCAGATGTTGGTTCAATCTTCTTCATCTTTTCGGATCAAGTTGGGACACGCAAAACTTGGGACTTCAATCTCGTCTTGAGCAACTCATATCTTCTCCGCTTCTGTATTTTGGGTTTTTCTTCTTCTTCTTCTTCTTTTCTTTATTATGGATTGAGATGTCTTCCTTCGATTTTCTCGAACCCAGTACTTTAAAGTATAACCTGCTTAGGAATTGAAACAAACGTACAAAATTTTCTGCCCCAATTTTTACTAGAAAATTTTGTGAGTTATTGTAACAAAATTCTATACTACTTCATTATTGAAAGAGATAAAAAGACGGGAATGGTGTCCCCGGGGTAAATGTAGACTAGGGTAAGGAGACCCTATATCTAAAAGTAAAATCAACTAGGGATTGGAGATCCTATGTTGGGGAAAATCACCAGGTTATGCTGGCATCAATTAGGGAGTAGGACCCTATGTTGGAAAGCCATCAAGTTATGCTGGCATCAACTAGGGAGTGAGACCCTATGCTGGAAAGTCATCAGGTTATGCTAGCATCAACTAGGGAGTGAGACCCTATGTTGGAAAGTCATCAGGTTATGCTGGCATCAACTAGGGAGTGGGACCCTACGTTGGAAAGTCATCAGGTTATGTTGGCATCAACTAGGGAGTGGGACCCTACGTTGAAAAGTCATCAGGTTATGCTGGCATCAACTAGGGAGTGGGACCCTATGTTGGAAAAGACATGGCTGGGGATCAGAGACTGTAGTTTTGAATTATTTCTTCTTTTCTTCCTTTATTTTTCAGAGTATGAGTGAATGCGGGAAAGAATTTTGGAGGAGACTTCCCTCTTGAAGCTATTGTTGCAAGGCTATTTCCAGCCTTTGCGCGATTTTCCTTTTGGTTGCCCCTGCTTTTGTGAGGTTGCTTTCGGGTTGCACCTGTTTCCTATTTTCTTCAACAAAGAATAATTTGTCAGTTTGAAACGGTGGTTGGTTGTTATGGCCTTGATTATTTGGTCACTCGATCTTGGCCCGTCTTTTGGACAAAGATTTTGATTGCTTGCTGGCTTGCTAGGGATTGATTTCATTTCTAATCCTGGAGATCTTGACTTTTCCAAAATCTTATCAGGACGGTTAATCATATGGGACTTAAACTTCTTTAACTTTATTTTGCCTTTGTGGCACTTTGACTTTAATCCCTTTCCTTTCGGGAATTCTTGATTTCGAAGCATCAGCTATCACGGCCGGTCGAGGTCGACTCGATGCACCTGCCGAGGCTGGGCACTTTTTGCATAATAACTTGTATCAAATGAGAACCTTATAGATCGGTCTTGCCATCCTTTCTTTGTCTCAATTTAGAATAGAATTAGACCAAAAGGGATTGAAAGGAAAACACACAACAGAATGGACAAATGAATATAGACAAGAGGTATCCCTTTCGGGGAAAGGAAAGAAGGACTTATCTAGAGGGTATGTGGACTTCAATGAACATGACATGCCTCTTGAACTGGATGCCTGATCTGTGCGAATCATCCAACTCTCAGAAATCCATCATAGCTTATACCTCAAGATTTGAGAAACCTTGCCCAGGACTGTGTCCATGTCAGTGACCAATTATCCTCTTTTTCGATCTGTGGTGCCCTTTGCGGGTTTTCACCAACTAACCTCTCTCATTTCTCTTCTCACCATTGCCTTGTAGTGCTCTTTGCAAGTTTTCACTAACGAGACTCGCTCATTTTCAATTTCTCTGCTTACCATAGCCTCACGGTGCCCGTGTGAGTTTTCACCGATAAGACTCTCTCATTTTATTTCTCTCATTTGGTCGCATCAAATCCAAGTCACTGTATTCTCCCATTTTGGACATCTTTACCGATTGGTTGGAAGGACTTTGAACAGGATTTGGTTAGAAAGAATTTGAATTAAATTACAACCTTGGAACCTTTCAGGCGAAAGCGCCGCCAAACCACTATAAATTCTGCCCCGGTTACAACCTTGGTGCTCTTTGATTGATTTTTTTTTTTGATAATTGAACTTTCAGGTTCCAAGGAAGGTGAACAAAGAAAAGTAACCGGCTTAAAGGGTTTACAAAAAGTTGATAGTGTTTGGGTAGCAAGAATGAAAGCCTTTTTCATCCTAATCGGAGAGTATTAAGACCGCGAAAGGGTTAAACATAATATCTTTTGACTGCATCTGCATTGACAGCCGTTTCGGGGTCATTTCCTTCAATATTTCCTAAGTACAATGCCCCTTTTGGCAGCATTTTTCTTATAATGTACTACCTTTCTAATTTGGAGCAAACTTTCCTTTTGCTTCTTCATGATGCGGGAGAATACGTCTTAGAACAAGTTACCCCACTTCGAAGTTTCTAGGCCGCACTTTCTTGTTGTAAACGTGAGCCATTCTTTGTTGGTATAACTGCCCGTGACAAACTGCGGCCATCCGCTTTTCATCAGTCATAGTTAACTGTTCCAGCCGAGTTTTGACCCATTCATCATCCTCGATCTCTGCTTTAACAATGATTCGAAGAGAGGAAATTTCGACTTTCGCGGGTATTAGGGCTTCAGTTCCATAAACCAATAAGTAAGGCGTATCCCCGACTGATGTGCGTACGGTTGTGCGATATCCTAATAATGCGAAAGGCAGCTTCCCATTCCATTGTCTAGAACTTTGGATCATTTTCATGAGGATCTTCTTGATGTTTTTGTTTGCCGCTTCAATGGCGCCATTGGCTTTTGTTCGATAAGGGGTAGAATTGCGATGCATAATTTTAAACTGTTCGCATACCTCCCTCATCAGGTGACTGTTCAGATTTGCAGCATTGTCGGTAATGATAGTTTTTGGAATACCAAAACGACAGATAATGTTGGAATGAATGAAGTCCACCACTGCTTTTTTGGTGACGGCTTTAAAAGTGACTGCTTCGACCCATTTTGTGAAGTAATCGATGGCAACCAAGATGAATCTGTGCCCATTTGAGGCTTTTGGCTCGATCGGCCCAATGACATCCATACCCCAAGCAACAAACGGCCAAGGTGCTGACATAGGATGCAATTCTGAAGGCGGTGCATGAATCAGATCACCGTGTATTTGACATTGATGGCCCTTCTGGACAAAACTGAAGCAATCCTTTTCCATGGTCATCCAGTAATAACCTGCCCGCAGGATTTTCTTTACTAGGACATATCAATTCATGTGGGGCCTGCATACTCATGAATGCACTTCGTACATGATCTTTTCGGCTTCTTTGGCATCTACACACCTTAAAAGATTCAGATCTAGAGTTCTCTTATACAACACTTCTCCGCTTAAGAAGAAACTGTCGGCAAGCCTTCTAATGGTTCTTTTTTGGTCTCCATTGGCCTTCTCAGGGTATTCCTTTGTTTTCAAGAACCTTTTAATATCATGATACCATGGTTGGTCATTTGGTTCTACTTCAACCTTGTTGCAATAACCATGTCTTTCTCGGATTTGAATCTCCAAAGGGTCAATATGGACATTGCCCGGATACGGCAGCATTGTAGCTAATCTACCTAGTGCATCAGCTAACTCATTGTGAAATCGAGGAATATACCTAAATTCAACGGATTTGAACCGTTTGTTAAGATCTTCCACATGTTGTCTTTATGGGATAAGCTTGATATCTTGAGTTTCCTATTCGCCTTGTGCTTGCCGAATGATCAAATCAGAATCTGCCATGATTAATAATTCTTCTGCATCCATATCAATTGCCATGTTCATGACCATGATTCAAGCTTCATATTCAACGGTGTTATTCATACAGAAGAACCGAAGCCGGGCTGTAGCCGGATAGTGCTGACCCGTGGGCGAAATTAAAATTGCCCCAATCCCAACACCCTTTGCATTTACTGCTCCATCAAAGAACATTTTCCAAATCTTAGTGTCTTCTGGGATTACTTCAATTGAATTCACTTCCTCATCTAGGAAATAAGTGCTTAGGGGTTGGTATTCATCATCAACCGGGTTCTCAGCTAAATTATCGGCCAAGGCTTGGGCTTTCATGGTCGTGCGGGTGACATAGACCATGTCAAACTTAGTGAGCAGGATTTGCAATTTGGCTAGCCTTTCCGTAGGCATTGGTTTCTGTAATATGTACTTCAGGGGATCCATTCTGGTTATGAGATATATGGTATAAGCCAACAAATAATGTCTAAGCTTTTGAGCGACCCAAGTTAAAGCACAACAACTTCTTTCCAGCAAAGTGTACTTGGTTTCATAACCAGTAAATTTCTTGCTCAAATAGTATATGGCTTGCTCTTTCTTCCCGGTCGCATCATGTTGTCCGAGGACACAGCCAAAAGAATTCTCCAGAAGCATTAAGTACAATAAAAAAAGTCTTCCAGGCTCAGGCATAACCAACACCGGCGGATTTGACAAATATTCTTTGATTTTGTCAAAAGCTTCTTGACACTCATCCGTCCATTTAATCGTCGCGTCTTTCTTTAGAAGCTTAAATGTGAGCTCACACATGGTAGTAAGCTGAGCGATGAACCTACTGATGTAATTTAACCTTCCCAGCAAACTCATGACCTCTTTCTTGGTTTTCGGAGGTGGCAGATCTCGGATAGATTTTATCTTTGTTGGATCCAACTCAATACCCCTCCAACTGACTATAAACCCCAAAAGCTACCCAGATGGAACTAAGAATGCATATTTAGCGGGATTCAATTTCAAATCATACCTGCGCAGGCGTTCAAAGAACTTTCTCACATCCTTCACATGGTCTTCCTGCGTTCTAGACTTAATGATCATGTCATCCACATACACCTCAATTTCCTGGTGCATCATGTCGTGGAAAATGGTAGTCATAGCCCTCATGTAAGTTGCCCCGGTGTTCTTCAGACCGAATGGCATGACCCTGTAACAGTAAGTCTCCTATGGTGTGGTGAAAGCTGTCTTTTCTGCATCTTCTTCATCCATCAAGACTTGGTGATACCCAGCATAACAATCCACAAAAGATTGTATCTCATGTTTGGCACAATTGTCGACAAGGATGTGGATGTTAGGTAACGGGAAGTTGTCTTTGGGGCTTGCTTTGTTCAAATCCCTGTAATCAACACATACTCGGATCTTCCCGTCCTTCTTTGGTACTGGGACTACATTGGCCAACCATGTGTTGTATCGGACTACTCGGATCACACCAGCTTTTAATTGTTTGGCAACCTCTTCTTTAATCTTATCACTGATGTCTGTTTTGAATTTTCTTTGCTTTTGTTGGATAGGTGGACAATCGGGATAAGTTGGCAACTTATGTACCACTAGATCGACACTTAGTCCTGGCATATCATCGTAGGACCATGCAAACACATCTTTAAATTCAAACAAGAGTTGGATCATTGCATCTCTAGTTTTTTCCTCAGCGTAAATGCTTATCATGGTCTCCCTGACCTCTTCTGAATTGCCCAAATTAATTGGTTCGGTTTCATTTAGGTTTGGCTTAGGCTTACTCTCAAATTGTTCCAATTATCGGTTTATTTTCCTAAAAGCCTCAACTTCATCATATTCGAACTCTTGATTCATTATTTCACAGTTAGACAACGTTTTAAGATCTGGGCATGAAGTCCGCAAGTATGTCATGTTATTTAAATCAGCATTATTAGAACGGGATTCCCTCCTGACTGGGAATGGGGTAGCCTGCCAGTTTTGCAATTTAGCATTGGGTCCCATGTATTGCACCTCAGCAGTGCTCGAGCCTTCACCCGGTTGGACCATGTGGACTTCGTAGAGCATTTGCCTCATTGGTTCACAGATATCCTCAATTTCATCGGCCGTAAAGGCCTCTTCTTCCTCTTCTATATATCTTGGCTTAACAAACTATCTGGCGAGGTGTGGGATTGGCTGAGGCAAAACCCACCCATCTTTCTTATGTTTATCAGCCCATTTTTCGTCGGCATTAGTAGCCTGAAAACCTATGTCAAAGAATTTCTTGTTGGCAGGCAAGGTAACGGGTTCTGTGATGCCCTACAAGGATACACCGAGCCCTTTCCCGGGCTTGTATCCATGTTTGATCATTTCACTGGCGACCGTGATTGATGCGCTTGATAAACAAGGTTGGGGACATGGGGTTCCTTCTTCGCACTGGCCAGCGAGCATGATTTCAAAGGCTTGGTAAACGATGTGCTCGTTTCCCTCCCTTGCCTCAAGACATGGGACTGATGGGTCCATGTAGATTAATTGTTCATCTTCCCCATGGACAACTATTTCTTAGTTCTCATGATCGAACTTGACCATCTGATGGAGAGTAGAGGGCATGGCTCCCGTAGCATGGATCCAAGGTCTTCCTAGTAGAATGTTATAAGAAGTGTCCATGTCAAGAACTTGGAATGTTACTTCAAATTCTATGGGGCCAATGGTTAGGATTAAGTCAATTTCTCCTATAGTATCCCTCTTGACACCGTCGAAAGCACGTACATAAATGTTGTTTGGCTTAATCCTTTCAGTCCCAATTTTCATCCTTTGCAATGTTGATAGAGGGCAAATATCTACTCCGGACCCGCCATCCAACATGACCCTTTTCACATAATATCCCTCACACTTGACCGTCAAGTGTAAGGCCTTGTTGTGGGCAGTTCCTTCGGGAGGTAAGTCATTTTGTCTGAAGGAGATTCGGTTGACCTCGAAGAACTGTTCTGCCATTCTTTCCAACTGTTCAACCGTGGTCTCGATTGGAACATACGCCTCATTCAGCGTCTTTAGGAGAACCTTTTGGTGCTCGTTTGAGCTCATCAGTAGAGACAAGAGTGAAACCTGGGAGGGAGCTTTTATAAGTTCATCAATTACAGTATACTCCAAGGTTTTCATCTTCTGGAAGAATTTCTCCGCTTCTTCAGCAGTGACATGTTTTGTGAGGGGGAAACGTTTCTGCTTGATTTTGTTCAATTCTTCTGGGTTATGATACTTCCCAGATTGGTTTGTTTCATTCACTTCCCCTCTAACTTCCTTCCATTTATAGGTGACCAACGTCTGGTTATAGTTTCAAGGGATGGAAGTAGTGTCTCTTAAGGGAATTTGTGGCATGCGACTAATGATCAAACGCTCATCCAGCCTAGGTTGGATGACTGGCCTCCGTGCCACATACGTCCCCTTTGGTACATATATTTTTGGCAAATTTGACATGGTTTTCCTTTGCTACAACCTATTTGGAGAGCTTCACATGAGCTGCCCATTTGTGGGAGCTCTTGGGACATAGAGGATGGCCTCTTTGGCGGGCGCTTCCCCTATCTTTGCTTCCTCGGCCTTTTCTTCATTTTGGAGAGTGGAATTTGTATTCTTTTCATCCCGGCCCTGTTTTGCCATTGTTTTAGGTTTCTTTTCTGTATCAGCGATGGTAATAATGGCTCTCAATGCAGGGTCAAATTATTTATCTTCACAAATCATCCCGATGACCGGCCCGTTGTTGTGGGATGGTAACGGGTTGTTGGTTACATTGGGGACTTCCTCATCCCTTAGCACTACCCTTTTCTGTTCGAACAGGTTCTCGACTGCTCTCTTAAGGGTCCAACAATCTTCAGTGTCATGCCCTTCTGCCCCGGAGTGATAGGCGCACCTGGTACCTGGCCTGTAGGTTGGAGATTCTAGGTTTTGTCTGTTCGGCGGTACAGGCTGCAACAGGCCCATTTGGACTAATTTCGGGAAGAGGCTGGAGTACGACTCACCAATGGGTGTGAAGTCATCTTTTCTGGGTGGTTCACGAGGACGGGTGTTATATTGGTAATTATTCTATGGTGGACGGGGATTATACGGAGCTTGGTGAGGAGGGTTGTTTCTTGAAGGTGGAGCGTTATTCTGATTGTAATGTTGTTGTGGCCGGGTGTACGATTGAGCATTCATTACTGCATAAGGATGCGGGGTCATAGCATAGGTTGTATCCTGGTGGGGGTAATAATGTTGCGGGGCCCTAGAAGGTGGACCAGAATAATCCAGGGGTCGCCGAGAGTTTCTTAAGCTCGAAGCCATCATGGCTCCCTTTTCTTTTTTCTTCCGGCTGGCTAAAATTCCCGAGCCGTTCTGAATGGCTTGGGAAGTGGCTCTTAAAGCTGATTGACTTAAGATACGGCCTGTTTTTAGGCTGTTTTCTACCATTTCTCCAATTTTAATGGCCTCCACGAACGGTTTGCCCATGGCAGACATCATGTTTTGGAAATAATCGGCCTCTTGGACCTGTAAGAAGAAATTGACCATCTCGGTCTCATCCATCGGGGTTTTACCCTGGCCGCTTGTTCACGCAATTTGATAGCGTATTCTCGAAAGCTTTCCGAGGCTTTCTTTTTGAGGTTGGATAAAGAATTTCTGTCCGGAGCTATGTCCATGTTGTATTGGAATTACCTCACAAAATTTTGGGCCAGGGCATCCCATATGTGCCAATGTGAGATATCTTGGTCTATATACCATTCAGAAGCGATTCCGGTGAGGCTTTCTCCAAAGTAGGCCATTAACAACTCTTCTTTTCCACCGGCTCCTCTCAACTGGTTACAGTATCGCTTTAAGTGAGCAATCATGTCTCCATGCCCATCATATCTTTCAAACTTTGGCGTATTAAAGCCCACGGGTAAATGCACGTGAGGGAACATGCACAGATCAGCATATGACACGCTCTTTTGGCCACTCAGGCCTTATATATTCTTGAGGCTTTGCTCAATGCTTTTCATTTTTTGTGCTATCTCTTCTTGTTCAGGATTCCTCACGGCTTTCTCATATTCTACGGGAGACTCAAA